GGTGGACCCGGGTGGGCCCAGGTCAGGTGGGTGTGCCCTGACACTAGTTCTCTCATGGCCTTCACCACCCGCTCATCATGATCCTTCACTTCTCGTATCCTCTTCAGAATATCCACCTCCTCACCCTCTACTGAGACTGCCTCTGTTGCATGGGCCTCAAACCAGGCTGGTTGGAGGAGTGTCAGCCCCTCATTGTCATCTCTTCCCTTCGGGTGTGTCAGGGCACACCCACCTGACCCGGCCCCACCTGACCCGGTGCCCCACCATCTGCTCCTCCCAACCTCCCCCCTCTTCCCCATTTACTCTTCTCTCTTCTCTTCTCTTTCTTCTCTTCTCTCTCTTATCTTCTCTTCTCTCTCTTATCTTCTCTTTCCTCTTTATTCTTTTCTTATCACACAGACAACTTCCTTTGTATCAATGTACCATTGACCCAGCTGCAGTGCAACGTGCCCGGACCTGGACACACCGGATGACCTCCCGCATACCGGACACTCCTGGGACCTCTTGCAGAGGTACCTGGTGTCAGGGTTCAGCACCCTGCCTTAGGGTGCCCCGGACTCCCCACCTACTCTACCCCCTTTTATTCTTTGACTGTTGCCTTGTTGTTGCCTTTGTGTGTTGTGTACATGTGCGCATGGGATAGCGCGGGAACTTTCTGAGCGAGCAGCTCGCCCAGAATGTTCCCACGGGTCACAGCCACAATTCTGGGCGAGCAACTCGCCCAGAACGTTCCCACGCTTGGCACTGCCACCTGGATGTTCCCTCCGGGTCACACTACACAACTCTAAGAGCTGTATAGTTGTGGGCATGTGACCCATTCCTTTATATAGCAACCATGCGGGGAGATGAGACCTTTACCCTTCTTCTCATCTCATGCCCCGCATAGGCAAGTGTATATATTCTCTTTCCTTTTACTATACATCTCATGCCCCACATAGTGTGAGGACAGGCCAGATGGGGGTTGAGGTCAGGGAGCCTCCGAGTCCAAGGCCGGGCCCTGACACCTGGATGGATGTGGCTGTGTGCGTAGATGACGTGGCGCTTCCCATGTGGCCTTAACCACATGTATATAAACACAGCCTAAGTGGGAACTGAGAAGCAACCTTCTTCTCACACTTCCCACTTTAGCCTGAGTGGCCAGGGACCCTTGTCTGCTTCGGGCCTGCTGTTACGCATGCCTGCATCACACCCTACCGGGCCCTCAGCCCCAGGCGATATACCCGGGTGCTCTCAACCCTGGGCCAGTCCCTGACAGGGTGGTCAGGACGATGAGAGAGCGCATCCGGTTTCCCCATGAGCTTCCCTGGGCGATGGACGAGGGTGAAGTAGAAGTGGGAGAGGAAGAGGGACCACCATGCTTGATGTCGGTTAAGTCTCTGGGCCATGCGGAAGTACCCCAGGTTGCGGTGGTCAGTGTAGACTTCAACCTTCTCCTCAGCACCCTCTAGGAAGTGCTGCCATTCTTCGAGGGCCCGGATGATCACAAGCATTTCCTTGTCGTACACCTTGTAGTTCCGCTCTATGTCCGTAAAGCTCTTGGACATAAAGGCTACTGGGTGGAACTCTCCATCCAACTGGAGCTGGGAGAGGACCGCACTGGTTGTGAAGTTGGAGGCATCACATTCGAGCCTGAGATGGCCTGAATCTGTGGGGAAGGAGAGGATGGGGGCAGAGGTGACGGCTTCTTTAAGGGCGTGGAAGGCACTGTCTTCGTCCAGCCCCCAACTCCAGGCCTTGGTCTTCCAGGTCAGCGTGTGGAGGGGTTGTGCTTTTTCGGAGAAATCTCTGATGAATCAATGGTAGAAGTTCATGAACCCTAGAAAGGATTGTACCTCTTTCACCTTGGTTGGGGTCGGCCAGTCAAGAACTCCATGGACCTTCACCGGGTCCATTGCAACACTGCCCTCAGAAATGATGAGACTGAGGTACTCGATCTGGGTCGAACTTGCACTTCTCCGGCTTCAGGAAGAGCTTCCTCCTCCGCAGTGTCTCCAGGACCTCTCGGACAACCTTCCGGTGTTCCCCTAGGGTGGAAGTGAAGATGAGTATGTTGTCCATATAGCAGATGACAACCTCCTGGTCGATGAAGTCCCAGAGGATGTCGTTCATCATTGTCTGGAAGGTTGCTGTCAGGGCACGGCCTAACCGGCTACCCTGACTCCCTATGCCGGAAGGGAGTTGCTGTAAGACGATCCGGAGTGATCCGAAGAATGCAGGTAATCTCGCTTAGCTCCCACTTCTATCTTCCATCCACATGTCACCCCTTTCCCACACCTCGCTTACGATTATCCAAATGAATAGCTATCTTTTCATGTCATCATTCTATCGGTTATCTCTTATCTCGTTGTAGCTGCACTCTAGTGGGTAGCGGTACCCATGTATATAACTCCTATCTCTGCTGAGGGTGGCACCTCAGCATTAACAACGACTAGGATTCTCAGGAACACCTCCATCGTCATGAACTGACATGCAGTCCCTGACATGTCCCCAAATAGTAAGCAACCTTTCAGAATTATAGTGAAGTAAGGTTAATCCCTTATGTCATCACCCAACCTCCGACCTACTCTGCCACCATTCTGGTTCACTTCTGGTTCATCCTCCCCCTCACCTCTGCCATATCCTCCAGTATACTTCCGGTCCACCTCCACCTCCGATCTCCGGTACCTTCTCCAGTACCCCATATCCTCATCATAGAAGACTATTAATATTTCTATCTACCCAACATTACTATGGACCTCCTAGGACCTCCACCAACCCCACAAAGGTTTTCCCATTACCCAATAGCTGTTGCTAATTCCACCCTTCACTTACCCACTCCACAGTGCTCAATAAGGTGATTCTCTCACGAGCTCGCCAACCCGGCAAGTGGGTAAGTCCTTCTTGGGTTTTCCCTTTCTTCTCTTATTATGTATATAGGCCATGTACCATAGTTGATGGCACTTTAGTGCAAAATTGACAACTAGATCCCCCCAGAGTTTGCACCCCCATTCTGAAGTTAAGGACCCAACAGCAAGCGTAATCGAATGTTGGCACAGCACTCCCCTCTGAGTCACTGAGGCCATGGTCCCTCCACTCGTCCTCTACCTCTGGCCTCCCTTCAGGGGAAAGGTCCAGACATGCTCGTTCCCTCTTGCCATGTTCTGACACCTTACACTTCTGCACAGGGGCCATGGCAATACTGTACTCACACAACCAACTACTGGTCGCGCATCACAGTGGCCTCCTGGTCTGGTTGAAATTCAGGGTCTGTCACATGTCACAGGCAGTCAGTGGTTGGGTGTCCGGCTGTCATGCCAGTTCTGCTGAGTCAAGGTGGCTATGCAAAGTAATTCAAATTTTCCATTTCGGGAATGGATTTACATTCAAAAATGGAAAACTTCCCCTGCCAGTTGGGTGTCACACATCACAACTAGTTGCCAGTTGGCAGTTTATGTGACTAGTCATGTGCCTGGCTCAGCCGGTAGTTGGTCATGTGAGTACAGTATATTCTCAACTAACCTGATGATACAGGAATAAACTAGCTACTGAACAGAATTCCCAGGGGTGAACAGTCTTTGAGTATTAAAGAAACAGGAAAAAGAGACCTGTTTCTTCAACCTGAACGAAGCCTAAGTTTCACTTCCTTCATTGCTTCCTTCCAATAATCACCCTCAAGCTCAAGCTCATCACTACTGTTGGCTGATGCCACAGGGCTGCTTGTCTGGCTTTCAGATATATGTTTTAGTTTGTCCAGCATCTTCCAAATTGCCAGTGACAGTTGTTTTTGAAGCTTATCCTCAAGGGAGCAAGCAACTTCATAAGATATTCCGATACTGGGAAGTGCCCATGGGAATATCCGACCATGCGAGCCTGGGAGGCTGAACTGGATATCTGTTGAGTTCAGGAGGGTTGCAAGCATGTTGCAGCACCAGCAACATTTTTTAGCCACTCCAATTGTCCTTGGCTTATTGGAAGTGCTCTTCAAAAGAAAGATTAGCGGCATGCCACTACCAAAGGTGCAGGGCACCGACAACTTACATGAAATATGTCCGGAAGTTGGGTATTCTGTGTGTTATTAGCTTGGCCATTGTACTGTACAATGGCACCCATCAGAGATGCCTCGCAGTGGACTGTGCCATGAAACTCCCCGGACTTTCGAAGCTTCTCAACACATTCCTCGTACACTGAATGCACCCTCAGGTCGCGGCCTTCGGATTGATCCTCCCAGTCTTTAAGGGATTTGTTGAATATATCCTTGAAGGTTGTTAGTGCATTTGCCATTTCTTTCGGATCGACAGGAGGAGCGGTGATCGCGAGATGGAGACGAAGCCTCAGGGTATGTCGAAGACGTGAACTGGAAAATAAGAATTCTGTTGCCGTGATCCATGCGACGGCGTTACCAAGGTATCGCATGGTAAGAGCGACCGAGTCTTCTTCTGTCTCAGCGGTGAGCTCTAAATTGTCGCCATGTGTGTCATCGAAAGTCTGGCTTTGGGGATCGGCGGAGTCTTCAGTATTGGAGCGAGTGATGAAGAGGTTGAGCTTTTAGATCGTTGGGACAACGGAGACACTAAAAATATTGTACCTCGCCGACGATTTAACACCAGGATAGCCTTGACAGACTCCAGTTCAAGCAGATATTTGAACCCCTCTGATTCGACCAATGTTTGGAGCAATTTTAGAACTGTCGCGCCCACGGTGGTGTTGCCTGCCACTTTCTTGTCTTCCAGCTTGAAACAATCCTTGCACAATGATAGGCACGATAGAAATGTTTCCATCCAAGCTGGAGCTATGTCCTTCGTCCATGGTGCGAAATATTTCCCGTTGGACTGTCGACATTGGATACCCATCGTCTGGAATAGGTCAATAAGGCGTTGTGGTAGTTCACACTCGGTCTTCACAAAATGGTCCCCGTCGCTAGGCTTCCATCCTTGGAGAATCTTATCTAATGTCGTATCTTGAAAGATGAACTTGTCAGATCGGAGTCGATGGGAGATGATCGGTGCGCATCGCCAAACGATGAATGTAGTGATACGTCGAACGGCAAGGGCTTGTTCGAGTCCACTTCGCCGTACGGTGCGGATATTGTTAAATAAAGACATGACGTCTGCTGCATGCTGACTCAGAGTGATATCCTCTGGGGGGCGGTCGCTAAAGGCAATGGTAATGATGAATCAGGGCGACGTGTAGAAAGGGGAGCTGATCACCTGCTCAAGAGTTCATCGCGTTGGACGTCGTCTAGATCATTAGATTCAATCTCAGTCACAGTGACACCAAATCCATTAGGGTCATCATCTGATGTGGGATTTTGGGTGACAACAAAATCGTTTGAGAGCCCACTCTCAGGGGTATCTGGATATCCGTTGTCATCTCTATCAATCGTCGCAAGGATATTCACGGAATCCACCGTCGTTCGCGTGGCGACTGCAATCGGTCGAATGTTCGGCCCCATCCTGCCTCTCTTCTTGTCCGCACCACGGGTGAGAAGCGTGGCAATATGCATCGCAACTTTGAACTCGATTGACGAGGGACCTTTGGTAGGAGAGCCAGCTTGAGGATCAAGAATTGACAGGATCGTGGTAAGGGCACGGATTCTCAGGTCAATGGCGTGGATGTCGTGGAAGGGCGTGGTAACTTGGTCGCTTGCGCTTTGCGCTTGGCGAGCTATCCAACTCATGCTAGAAGTGGTAGACGAGACGGTGTATGGTTTCGTGGGGGACAGCCAACCGAAGAGAGTGGAAACAAGACACAATAAATTCGGCCAACTCCGCCAAACAGCACGTCCCGCAAAAAAGATCATGTGCCGAAAGCAAGAAAATTTCTTTGAACTAGAGGGCATGCTTTGCATCGCTGTAACCTGCGCAGCATTCATAGATGACCCAAAGGTTTTTTTTCACATTCAGTCCTGGTGATTTCAAGTTGGCAGATGAAGGCACTTGTGTCTAACAATATTCAATTGTTGTGTCAGTGTTGTTTAATCGAAAGCATTAATAATGTTTAATCTTAATCGACTTTAATCGTGAGTTTAAAACTAGTTTGAGCATAAGTCAACAATGAGTTGGCGAATTATCTGATTGTACGCGATGACTTGAGAGTGGAGCAGTTATGGAATGAGCCACCGAAAAATAATATACTGTGGTATAACGACCATAGGTTCATTCCCACGGTTTTCGGGGATTGCCGGGCGCTACTGGCGTAGTTCATCCTTGGGTGCGACATGCGACAATCATGTTCACTGTCTATCACTTGTACTCTTCTTAGTGCCACATCTCCGAGTATGACCAGAATGGAAAATCATCCTTTGATAGATACAGTAAGCCAGAAATTTCCTTTGGCCTCGCAACACTCATGGATCCCTTCGCTTTTGCCAGCTATATTGAACTGCTTGCATCCAAACCTTGTGATTTCAAGGATGTTCCACCATTGTTTATTGGGACACTCCTGCCTGACCTTCGACTCCCTTTGACAACATTTCTCAATTTTCACCTTCCACCATTGCCACCCGAGAATGTCCTGATTCACATTGCATACAACCTGTTAGAGACCGGAAGCGGATTTACTTACTGGCAGTGAGAACTAAAAAGGGGGATCAACTCTAGTTGATTTGATCACTAGGGTGTAACCTATGTACAAGTTGAGTATATATAGTTACAGCGAGGGTGGGCCCATGAATGGCAGGGCTGAGCAGAGCGGAGCTAGCGGAGTTAAACATTAGCTGATTGAATATTACCAACAAGTCGGGTTACGGGGTTAGCGGAGTAGCTGGCTATAACCCAGAAATGGAAAGGAGGGATAGGCCCGAAGGTAGACTTGCAGGGCAAGCAAGTGAATTGCCCAGTGGGGGCAGGAGTGCACTAGCAGACGTTGGAGCTGTCTGGAGGCCTTCAGGGTTCTGTACTTAGGGAGGCATAGGTAATATATTGAATTGAGGGGGTGGTGACCATCGAGGGAGTCAGAGGTGATTGTGGAATACAGGGGCTCTGAGGTTAGTGAAGAAGGAGTGGAGGTAGTCTGGAAGGATTGGAGGTAGTGGAGGGCGATGGCCATAGATGGATATGACACAACCCCCCACTGTCACTCCACTTAGTCTTGATGCCATCAAGTCTCTACCATGGCCTCCACTGCACTCTGCCAGGCAGTTTCTCGCTCTGAGCCCTCCATCTGGTAGCCAGTCTGTACACTTGCAAATGAACTGGATAATGACTTTCCTGAGGAGGATGCCAATGATATGGGTTCTAATTCATCGCTTGGTGATGGTTGGATGATGACTACAACAGCAGCTTGGTTTCTTGTAGTGCAGATTCAATCCCTTCAGAGCTGGTGTGCCAAGGGGAGAGGATGAGGAAACCTGTGGATTTAGCGACACAAAATAGATGGTGGGATGGGTGGTAACGACAGCATTGGCTGGCCAAAATTTTTCTTGATATGCCTACATAATATAGTTGCAGATCCTTCTTCATTAGTTCAAATATCCATTGCAACATGCAACAACACTATTTTTAGTTCAGTTCAAAACCTTTGTGCAACATGCGACCGAACTTACGGTCATTATACCACAGTACTTGTCACGGGCTCATGAATCATATGTCTGACTTGTCTGACTTGATCAACATACTCAGGTCCAGATTCAAATTTTGTATTACAAATGTAGAAGTCATGCTCTGCTTTCAATACAAAAGTCACATGTTACACGGGGATAAACCCAAGTCTGATCCATTCTGGGTGGCAACATGCTTAGGCATTTACTGAAGTCTGAGAACACAAGTCTGGGGAGGTTCCAAACATGTAAACTGCCCAGTTACTATGCTATGAAGTCGGCACCCAAGCCTGTGCTGGGTTTGACTGCTTATATATTACTTTGCATGCAACAAAAGCATTGGGTGTTGCGGCCCAGATGGTGGAGTGTTAGCTTGTAGTTTTCATTTTGAAGCCATGATTCCCACTAGGGGTAAATCTTGTTTTGTTTTTTGTTTTTTGTTTTTGCATTCCCATCTGGTTGCAGTATGCACAATGCCAGTAAATTAGGAACATCAGAAAAAAATAAAACTGAATCCATGCCTTCATATAAGTATTCAGGCACAGCTTGGAATACAAAAAAAAGATGTACTGGGAATCAAACCCATGCCTTCAAAACAAAAGCCACAAACTAGCATTTCACCATCTGGACTGCAACACTGTCAGGGCAACCACACCTGACCATACAACCCCAGAACCACCTTCCCTGACCTCCCCCCACTTCCCTGATCCTCCCATCTTTACATACAGTAATTTGCTTCCGAAATGCACACACCCGTGACATGCACACTGTGCTTGTTCTCCTCATCCACCAAAGCAAGGCAATCCATTCTTTTTCGAACATGCTAGTGAAGTCTCCTATACATTACTGACGAAATTTGGGCAGAAAATACTCCATAGATCTTGAATAAAAGTTAAATTTAGGCGAAATTTTTGAAAATTTGACGGTGTGCAATTGGTCTTTGTCCCACGAGATGTCAAATAGCACATAACTCAGGAAGAGAAGCACTTGGATAGTGAATTACATTGCTTGAGCTCTACACTGACAAGTTTTGAGACCAGCGCTTGTTGCCAGAAAGGCAGGCAGTGCTTTCAATTATCAGGGTCGTGCTATGTGCTGAGCGTGACCCATGCCACTTTTGGACACCATCCCCTTCAACATTCCCTTCACATGCCGACATTAAGAATGGGTAGAAAGGCAAGCTCTAAAGCAAGAACACATCAGAAGCTTGTACAGGACTTGGAAGGGACTCGACAAGCCGCTGTGGCAGCATATCTGGCAGAGCAAAAAAGCGCCCAAGAAGAAGGTCGGAGGCCTGCTGGCCTTCGGGTTATTGCAGAACAGTTTGGTATTGGGTACAGGGCATTAGGAAACCATGTCAAAGGTGGAAAAACTAAGCTGGAATCCGCCAATGAAAGGTCCAACCTTAACCACACCAAAGCCCTCATGCTAATCGACTTTACTATTGGGATGGCAGATAGGGGGTTTCCTCTCACTCATAAAGCTTTGGCTTCCTATGCACTCAAAATCAAACGCATCCACGACCCCAATGCAAAGAAGTTCTGTTTCAGCTGGTCCCAAAAATTCCTCTCCAAGTATGGGGACCATATCTCCATGAAATGGAGCACAACACTTGACACAGTCCGCACATCTGCAGTAAACCCTGCCAACATTAGACTCTGGTTTGAGATGGTCAAAAGGGTGTGGGATACATACAAATTTCAACCTTGCAACATCTACAACTTCGATGAGTCCGGCTTCCCAATTGGGAAGGGCTCAAAACAGCATGTCTTGACCTGCCCTGGAACAAAGATGCAGCATGCTGTTGAAGATGGAAACCGTGAGAATGTCACAGTGATGTGCTGTCAGGGCACGGCCTAACCAGCTACCCTGACTCCCTATGCCGGAAGGGAGTTGCTGTAAGACGATCTGGAGTGATCCGAAGAACGCAGGTAATCTTGCTTAGCCCTTGCTTAGCTCCCACTTCTATCTTCCGTCCACATGTCACCCCTTTCCCACACCTTACTTACGATTATCTGAATGAATAGCTATCTTTTCATGTCGTCATTCTATCGGTTATCTTCTATCTCGTTGTAGCCGCACTCTAGTGGGTAGCGGTACCCATGTATATAACCCTTATCTCTGCTGAGGATGGCACCTCAGTGTTAACAATGACTAGGATTCTCAGGAACACCTCCATCGTTGTGAACTGACACGCAGTCCCTGACATGTGCACAGTCTGTGCAGATGGGACTTCATTACTGTCAGGGACGTGTCCGGGGTCGAGGGGGCCCGGGTATAGTGCCCGGCGCTGAAGACCTCACGGGGGGTAGATCGGGTGTGCATGCTGGCAGGCCCGATAGGGGACAGCTGTCCCTGGCCACTCAGACTGAAGTGGAAAAGGTGAATTGTTATTGAAAAGGGAAACTACACTAACTTACCTGAAGTGGAAAAGGTGAGAAGAAGGTTACTTCTTCGGTTCCCACTTCAGGTACATTTATGTACATGCGGCTTGAGTCACATGATGGATGCCATGTCATCCTCGGAGACAGCTGCAGCCATCTGGGTGTCCCCACGGGGGATCCCGAAGGTATCCGGTGCAGGCACGTGTGCTAGGCACAGTGGGGAGCCATCTGGGGAGTCTGGGTCGGGCGGGTCAATGGTACATTGATGCAAAGGAAAGTGGTCCGTGTAAATAGAAGGAATAAACAGGAGGGGAATGATGGGAAGAATGAAATAAAGAAAAGGGAAAAGAGAGAGAAGAAAGAAAGAAAGAAAGAAAGAGGGAGGATGGAAGGAGGGAGGGAAAGGATGGGGAGTGGGGTAGCGGGTGAGGTGTGGCCGGGTGGACCCAGGTGGGCAGGTGTGCCCTGACATCACCCCCTCCTTAAGCCGCTTCGCCTCGAAGCGGCTAGGCGACTCTCTCTCTCTCTGCCTGGGGCATGGGGGTGTGCCTGATGGAACTCTTCAATCCGGTCGGGGGCATGGGTCAGTTGGTCGTGGGGGAGCCATTGGTTTTCTGAGTTGGGCCAGCCCGCAAACTTCACCAGGTACAGGAGTTTTCGGCACAGCCATTTAGAGTCCAATACTTTCTCGACCTCATATTCTTCCTCTCCATCTACCAGCTCTGGGCCTGGGCAGGGGTCAGCAGGTCGTTCTGTGACTTCGTCCAGGCGGTATGGTCTGACATTCGTCACGGATATGACTGGGTGGATCCCCTTCTGTTGTGCGGTGAGTTGGAGTTTG